GATACCTCTGCCCCAGCCTGATTGTTTGAGCAAGTACCTATTGCCAGTAGGTGTCACTTGATCATTGCCGGGATTTTGATTCGCTACATCTGTAACTTCGTATGAGTACAAAGATTGGATGAAATTATCTGTGCCGAAGCGACGACCTCCTGCCCTACCAACTTCGCTGTTACGAAGTTAGGGCTTTTGCCGATCTCCAACAATAATTAGAAAGGCACAATAGTATTGCTGTTATTCATGATTTGTCTAAGGTACTTATTCATTCGACGGGCCAAAGGGTAAGTAAACACGTATACATACGCAGTAGGAAGAGCTCTGTCTTTAATGCAGAGTGACAATATAGGTATTTATATGGGTTCATTCATCTTCTCCTTGCATTTGAAATCATGCAAAGGTATCAACTATTACCCGATAAGGAATGACATTTGCGCGTGATGCAAAAAAAGAATGTACTAAACGTAGAGAAAGACACTGCCGAAGTCCGAGATCTGTACCCCTCTTCCCTGGAATTGTTCTTCAAAGATCATCCACTATTGTCAGCCTACTTGTGCATACCTACTCAGCTCCAGGTGCAAACACTTCTTTCCAGCAACGCGAAGCTGAGAATGAGCCGGTGTCACGTTATGCTGGTAGGGGCAGGTATCCGAATTTCATGCGCAGAGTACGAAGTATCTGCTTTGAAGACAGGAAAGACACTGCCAAGAATCCCACCTAAAGTCATTGGGATGGCCGGAGATGAAAGGAGGCACTCTTTAAGCGAGTATACAACAACAGCATGGATGCATCCATACTCCGCCGAGTACAGCCAATCAATTCGATTAGTTGCAATCAAAGCTTGGGCAGGTTCCCTTCATCTGTTCCCCCGCCAAGCGGAACACCTAGCACGTTGGCTAATATTGGTGACACGACCTCAATTAATTAATAATAAGACTTGTATCGGTAATTTTGAATTTTCAGACTCCCTGTGCCAGCCCTGAGTCGATTGATGGGAGTTCTCGTGATAGTAAGGTACTCCGTACCAGCTCCTGAATACATTAGAGTACTCCGTAACAATAATTACATTATTTTTATTGACTAGGTCGGCTCATCTGACAGCCCAAGCCAGCTGCCGATCCATTCTTGGCATGTTTGGCTGGTAAGAACGGATCGAGGAATCGGCCTGCATCCGCCATCCGCGGGCTTCCGTGAGAATGAACTATCAACTCCCAGTTCCAGTTTTTCCTCTCAAGAATAAAGTTCTGGACAGTCAGAGTCGATCTTTGAGGTGAAAGGGGCAGATTACTCACTCTATACGCACGCACTCGTACTATCTAATACACGACCCGTCTTTTTGAGATTGACGAGTGATTACGGACACACGGCACCTGCTGACCTGATGTGCTTCTCGATCTTTCTATGCTTGTGTCCTTACTAATTTTGTTACGGAGTAGAGTGGTGTGACTCACAACACGGATCAGCGAGCCTCTGGTCAGCCTGCTGTCCGTCAGGTTTTGTCGCGGTCGCCGAGGACTCCCGTAAGTTGGAGTACCTATGAGACCCCTTAGCCTCATTGTCCTGGCTGGAGATATTGCGGCATCATGTTGGCTGCTTCGTATAAGTACGGTTGAGCTTTGAACTGTTGGTGCTGTTATAGATCCTCTCCACATTAACATCTGTCAGTGTCAGAACTATTTAATTAATGTAATGCTGTACCCCGGAAATTCATTCAATCCCTTTTCAATTCATGTGCTACGGCTGAAGTACGGGCTGAAGTTGCCAAAGTACTCCCGTACTTACAGCTGAGCACCAAATCACAGCGGCACATTCCCTGGACTAAAATAATGCAGACGAGTCTTGGTGAATCGTGCCATGGTGACAGGTAAAACCAACCAATCAGAAATTATGATCGCCAGTTGGAACTCAGGGACTCGGAAACTTCAGGTACCCTGTCTACACTGTCGGATATATCGCGAAACCATTCTCGGAAACATAGGGTATTGCAGTTGCACAACACTTGTCCCGATGCATAAATCCTCAACACAAGAGCATGAACCACATGCGAAGACCGGCAGTTTACTCCGACCACGCCCAGAGGCCCCCGTCACTGTTGGAATCATCAACAGATCCATTCCTTTAGTAGTTCCATAGATACTTGCTTAGGAGTTGATTCGTCTCACATCGGAAAATCGGCACATTGCTAAGGAAATATTAGCGGGGTCCAAGAAGATGACCCGCGTCTCCCGCTACTGTGTAGGAGCTAAATAGTGTCCCAATACTCAGCACTGAGTCAGTGGTTCTGCTGACTTTGAGTTCATCCTGCGGAAGGGACTTAAAGAATAATATCTACCCCAGGTATATTATGCAGGTGATCCCGCGCCCTGAATGCGAACGAATGTCGGATTGTCGTACGAGTCCTCGGCTATTCTCCCCAGGGGAAACTCGCCAAGAGTCTTGAGACTGTTCACTATTGTAACCATCAGTCCTCGCCTGCATGGAGTTACAATCTGTACACCTCTTGGCATCAAAGCCCGAAGAAAGCGCGCACTCCATACTCATATCATGACGTTCTCATACCTCATCCACCTTCGGCGGAAAAAGACACCCTGTTGGTCGCGCACACAACCGTAAGACTAGACAAGCGGTGACCGCAGCTGAAGTGAACAGAAGGCAGCTTTTCGAACGCTGCGCGAGGACTATCAAATGCAGAACATTGAGATTCGGTCCATGTGGTGGTTCTGTCGTTGTAATCCCGTAATCCGTCAATGTCCGACCCTGCATACCTTGACAAATATGTTTTGAGAGTTGCGAGTACCTTCCCTCCGCAGGACCGTTGTTCAACGGCCTTAAACAGAATCGAAGCTGTCTTTGTGGCACATCTCACTGTCGACATGCCATACGCACTCTCAACTTCAGATCGACGTTTATCAACAGCCAATAGTACTTCGCTTGCCGGACTTTCATAAGCTTTTCGATTTGTAGGCTAAATGCAGCTCAATGATCTAGCAAGTGCTAGTGACAATTCACAATGGCGACCATATGTGCTTCCTTCAGGGCGCGCTTTCTCTATGGACGTAGTTAGGCGCGCGTGGTTTCTCCCCCAATAATGCGGGATTCTCTTCATTCTGAAAACTTTCCAGTGAACGGTATCCACGAGAAGATGTGGCTTGTCCACAGTTAGGGATTGACCACCCATCCACTTTGGTTTGAGATACGGACTTGGAACTGGATGTGTTAGTCTAGATGTAATGTGAACTGTTCTATGTAACATATTCAGCGGTATAATTTTCTTTTTTATCTTCGATCGTGTAATAATAAAGATAGGCAGCTTTATGCTTATCCTCGAGTTGAAGAGCAGATGAGGTCGTTTCTTGCTTCATCCTCATTCAGGCACTGCGGAGAAACACAACGCCGTGGACCTTGGAGGCGGGGCGCTAAGCCTAAATAACGAGCCTCAAAATCACATGACCACAGTAGCCTAATGAATCCCGAAACGGCTTAGCGCTGCTCAAGCGAGATGGCCCGAGCCCGGCAGCGGAACAGAGGCACACAACGCATTTTCAACCCTAATATCTTTTATCCTCAACGCCCAGCGCCAGCGACGACAAACCACCTGCCAAACACCGTCAACCCCCAGGTTTTCCTCGTCTCAGATTCAAGATGACTCACGAGTCCGTTTGGTACAGCCGGCCCCGCAAGTAAGGATATTCTTCAATTCTGGGATGCGTCGATACGATTTGGCTAATTTATTACCCTTTTCCCTCGATAGGTTCGGCAAGGGTTCCCGTGAATGGTGTGTGAACGAAATTCCCCAGGCGATACCAGGAGGATAGGTCGAGATTTTATGAATTGCGAGCAGCAATGGCTAATCAGATATTTGCGTCGAAACAGCCGTGTTTGCGCCCACCGCGCTGGTCTCATCCGCAAGTACGGGGTATGGAAATGAGTCAACTATCGAGAATAACCCGCGTTGGATATGCGACTGATAGTGGTTATAGATGGACATCTGCAGACAGTGCTTCCGTGAGAAGGCTCAGGACATCGGTTTCTACAAGGTTGGTTCCCACATACGCTGCAGAGTCGGAACACCATGGCCAGGTTCAACCCGACGACATTCTCGGAGAACTGGTTGGCAGAAGAAGAGCGGATCACTAACAGATCACCTCTACCATCCAGTACCGTTAAATCTGTTTTCTCGATCCATTTCCTGTTTCACGACGAATCGTTACGTGCTCGGCGCTCGGTAGCTACCATGGAGGAAAATCAAAAAGGAATCATATCCGCTTGAATTCCAACGGGGGAAAATAGGAAAGAGGAAGAGGAGATGCCGGTGTGAACAACCCAAAAGGTGTTTTGTCGAAACCTTTATCTTTCCAATTCAATTTTTAAATTGAATTTATAAGGATCTTTCTCCCGTCCTAGCCCGCCATAGCGAAACAGTGTGGTGAATGTGACGAATACGACTGCAATTGGGTCAATGCCAACTGTAGACGACCATGTCTGATAAGGCTCCTTATGCACGTAGCGACCGGTTGCAACAATTGATATTCTCCTTTCGTCCAGCCCTCCGGTGCGGCATCGGTCACTTCACCTTTTACACCCTATGACTCGGAAACATACCCCATCGCGCAGACAAGATTTGGGGCCATTACCATGCGGTTGCCAATGTTGCTCTTCGTAGAGACACGGATTGTCCGGTGTCTGCTATTGAAACTGCCCATTTTCAACGCACAACGGAGCATTCCTACTTCGTAGAACGTATGATGAGAAAACCGCTGGAATCAAATTCTAGCAATCTCCGAGCTATGTCTTGCGCGACCATTTTAGCACGGTATTCTAACTACCTGCCTAATAAGAGAGAAGCAATCAAATACAGATAGTGTTAAGGCCCTCCCAATTGGAATTCAAAAAAGACCCGCAAATTGAACTCCACTGCCATAAACTCCTTGCTAGAGCCAGGAAGGGGGGGAAAAGACGGTTGCCTCTCTATTGAAGATTGAAGGGTGCCGAGGCAATGCGACGAGCTACTGCAAAGAAGCAGTAAACAATCGTAGATTGTAAAACAAGAGATACGCATCGGCGTTGAGGACTTCGGCCTCAGTGGCCGCAGTCACCTGATCATCGTTGAACAGTACCCACTGTCAAGAGAAGAATTAGTCAATGTCAACGACGTCGTGTAGTCTCCTGAGTGCACACACGAGGCATAAGCCACTAAATAACGGATAGACAAACCTGGTCGCCCTGCTTGCAGTAGACGTAGTAGTGTCCAGCGTCCAATTTGCCTTTGTGGACAACTGCAGAAGAAAGATCATAGATGAATTTGGATTTGTCAAGATCCTCCCTGTGCCGATGTGTCGTATATGGGAGCATGTTGATCGACAAAGGGAAATCGACCCTGCCTTCCACTTTCTCCGACACTGCTGAGCTATGCTCGAAGCGCTGAATATCATGTTAGCCAAGTCCACCGCGGTCGTCAGAGACGAGAGACACACCTTCAGCTGCATGCAGAGAATCGCCGGCAATTTCTTGATTCGCAAACGCTTTGTTGCTTTCTGAGGCGTCCCGCCACACTCACTGCAATTGTAAACACCTGCCATCAGCCTTTCTGGCGACGTAAAGCTCTCCAGGCAACCGTTTAGTGTAGGTGTCGCTGAGGGTCCGACACCACCGCCCATAGCCCGCTTCTTCGCCTGTACCTGAACGTCCAGACTCAGATCGAGCATAGGATCTTCCGTTTTGGTAATGTTGCCGCAATTATCGCACATCACACTACTTTTAAGCTTGCCGTAGAATGTTTGATGAAAAAAGCAAGGACACCCTTGGTCGTGATCGTCCATGTGTCCTTCAGTGCTCGCATGTAGCTTGTCGACGAGGAATTGATAGTACTCGTGTGCATCCTGCTGGTGGTAGCCTGCCAAAGTCTACGAAGCGTCAGTAACTTTTGATGTCCTAAGAGCCGGTCAAGAAACCACCTACAGAGCTCGCACGCCATGATGCTAGAAGGAGATTCAATGCTGCAAAGCCTTCTGCTTTGTCGCTGCTGTTGAAGTCGGCAAACGCCTCCGCAACTGCGCAGCCTATGCAATCCGGGACTGAACAATCGTGTGACTGATGCCCATTCCCCAAGAAATAGGCGTTCAAGATGGGATCATGCAGTAAAGTCTGCAGGATGACGTTGAGATAACATGTTTGTCCGAGATTGTACAGACCTCTGACGCCTTGCTTTGCACAAGCGCGCTTGTTGGCGTTGTTTCTGACAAACTGTTCATCTGATGAACTTTCGCTTGATCTCCGTCTCCTAGATGCTGCTGGACTTTAGCAGATCGAATGAAACCAACAAAGACTGGATGCGAACCTTGGTGCATTCCATAAGGTAACGATCGAAGACGTTCTAAGTCATGGTCATAGACGAGGTCACCGCAACCTTGGCAGAACAGAGTTCGTCCCCTTGACTCCATGTCTGGCGGCGTCAGCTACCTTCGACTGTAAAGTCGCACTAGATTGACTTACAGAACTGGTGCCCAGTCTCTTTCGTATGAGCTTGTCTATTGGCAGGGGCGCAAACTTCAGAGCAAGTCAAGCACGTGTATTTTGGCCTTAGCAGAGAAGCAGTACGCAGGCGTCCCTTTTGCTTTGGGAAATCATCCACCGTTAAAGGCTTAGGAGCCAGAGCATTGTGGGTTTTAAGGAATGAGCTCTTGAACTGATCGGCAGTGTTTCCACTCCGAGTCAGTATTGCAGCGAGATGCTCTTACTACAAGTCAGTTTGAAGATCTATAGAGAGGACGGTATCGTGTTGATGCCTGCTTACCGCAACCGAACTCAGCCTCCGAAAGAAGGGACGCAGAAGTAATGCTGGCCATGGTGACGAAGGTGACAGCACGAGAAAAAGCTGTTCCAAGGGTGTTATAGAAAGGAAAGATCAGGATGACAGGGTATTAGAAGAATTAAGGAAAACTTGAGAGTCTGAAAGGAAAAGTGTCCAAATATATAAGACGACTGGGAAAGGCGTCTAGCAACAGATACCTTGACTCTTTGAGGTCGAGGAGGGACAATAAGCTCAAGTCAAGTGCGGATGAATGCAAAGCATTCATGAATAGAAGTCGTCAAAGACCTTGTATGGGTTCACAATCGCATTGTGAAGCTTTCAGAGGCCAGCCTCTCAATCAAAAATAGAAATCTTCAGCGTTGTGTTGCCCAAGCTGGAGTCTATTGACGGCTGTGGTGAACCTCAATCTCCCCTGCGACCACTAAGTGTTCCGTGCGGATCGGATGGGCACTGAAGGGACCTGAGGAGCGAATGATATACCAGCAGCAACACTTGATGCAAATGAAGCTTGAACTGCAGATTTCTAAATTTGTTAAAACGATAGGTGTTCCCTCAAGATTATTGAGCCGAAACTATGTGACGCCACAGAAGCTTTGTGGACGGCTCGATGTTGGTTAAGAGATCTTTTTTCTCCTCAGGGTCCGCCGCTCGGAGCGATAAGGAACCGGGCCTACTGCTGGGGATCCGCAAACCCGGGGGATACGCCGCCTTTGGGGAGATACACGAAAGTAAGGTGTACTTGTATTGTCTCATATTGCGCTCGTAAAATAAAATCTAAGAATTGCGTAGGCCATTATTTCTAAAGATAGTTTTATTTCGCATTCTCATGTCACTAATCTGGCCTCGGGTGGCAATGGCAAATTAGAGATCCATCTCAACAAAAGTAGCCCATGAAAAGAGGACTACGGTTCGAATGGAGGCAGACGTATTGCTAGCGAAGGCGCCCGGGCACTTGGAGTGCTCTGTGATCTGGTATAGCTGTGCCTCCACCATTGGGCCGAACCAGCGCGTCAGACCTCTGCTTCTTGGTCTCCGATTCTCGACAGTGCTATCAATCTTGTCTTGAATTTATGGGGAAAGTCCGCATGAGCACAGCTGTGTACTACGATATCCGGTCGTAAAATTATTGTTCCCAGAACAGCGTCACCGAACACCTCTACCTCGGGGCAATGCGCTGGGCCGAGCCCGATCAGTCCCTCTCGTTGTATAGCGACCGCGTGTTGACCCGCGCATCGAAGACCCCCGAGTAGCTCCTCGAGAAGGGATGGACGATTTGGATGTAGGTTTCGAGGAAATCGTGCTAGGAGGATGCTCAACGAACGAGGTATCTGTCGTCCTGTGGGCCCAAGTCGCGGTTAGAATAAACCTTCAATGTGCAATGCTGCAATGGCCTAGTAGTAACTCACATGAATGTTGCCTCAGCGTCAACAGCTCGTCGAACTTCTTCAGCTTCAGCCTCTGCAATCTTAGTGAGTATATTTGGTCTTGTCAATTTTGTCGAATGTGCTTTACAATACCTTTTTGAGCTTCAGCTTGTTTAGCTCTCCGGAATGAATCTGCTATTGGTGCCTAATTCTTAGTGAGCACGAGTCTAATTGGGATGTAAGGCTCATTCTGACATACCTCCGGAAAGTCCACACAGAACGCATTCATATTTAAACCATAGAGGAAGCTGGCAAAGCTCTCGCTAAACCGTGTTAAACTCTCGTGCATCAACTGAAGGTGCATGAAATTCGCTTCCAGGTCTGCCATAGAGTCTGCAAGTTCTGCAAACTGCGGCTCTAGAGCATTGATTGCGGGTTGTGTGTAGCCAGCATTGCCGATACTCGTCCCATAACCATGGGCTTCGCGGATTGACGATCGAGAATTGGGCCTCAGAGGAGTCGTGGGCCTGGACGAAGGTCGCGGGCGCGAGGATGACCGGGGGAGAGCAGTTTCCATCATAGATTCTCACAATTTCCCGACATTCAAGGAAGCCTGGCCAGAAATCTGAGTACGAAGCCTTTTGTTGTTCCGGGGCCAACGATAAACAATCACAACGCGTGATGAATTGGGCCTAGCCAGCAAGATAGTTGGGCAGCTCAGCAAAGAATATCGGTCATGGTTTGTAAATGATCGCTATGGAAATGAATTTGTTGAAGACCTAAATCAGATCGGTAGTATCTAAATATCGAGTGTTTCTGGCGTTTGCCTTGTTAATTAAACAGTGGGTGCCGCATTGTTGATCCCCCGCTTTCCAGTTTGCGATTGGATCGGAAATTGAGGCGCCCCGAGGGTCCGTTGCGGCATTCATTATCCACAAAGCAATGATGATATAAATCGTTCGGGGTTGCCAAGGTAGAACCACTACTATTTAGTAGTACTAATAATAATTATCAAATTTCCCATCCTCGTGTGCCCTTGCCCCGTCTGGCATGAATTGAGGATAGGAACAACCAACAACATCACAGTCTTCACAACCGGACCCCACCCTGGGCCCTCGTTATTAATCTCTCAGCACATGCATGCTTCTTCGTCTATTCGACGCCGTCTACTCCTTTCTTCGGCCTGCTCCGTCCATTTCCGCTCATACTCCCTGCCATTATTACTGGTTGGAGGCGCATCGAAGCCTTGTTCAACTTCAGGCTCCTTAGCTAGACGATCGATCTTCACTGTACCGTTGTCGCGGAACAACCCTCCGAGGAAGGCTTCATCATTTTGGACAGTTACATTCGCTCTTGCTGTCATTTGCGGAGGAGTTTGGTTACAGGATAAACGTTTTCAGACCAAGAACGACTCGCCTTCTCCATCAATTTCGCAAAATATCCAGCCTGAACAGGAACCTTTTCTCGGCGTCATTGATACTCTTAAAACAATGTCTACCGTTTTGCCTCCTGGTACCGTGGGGAATCTCACGGCAGAGCAGGAAGCGAAACTGCAGGAATTCTGGGTGCTGCTCCTGAAGGTCTTTGGCGTTAAACTTGATGCGCTGGAGTCAGCTAAGGAAGCACCTGCCAGCACGCCGCAGGAGAACAAGAAAGAGCCCAAGCGACGATTCGGACTGTTCGGCAGAGGCAAGGATAGTGAGGATGGCGCCGCGAGCGAGAAATCAGCGGAAGGAATCACAGCCAACCTCGCGTCTATCAATATTTCTGATGGAGACGATAAGTATGGACAGTCGAAGGAGTTCCAGCAAACTCTGGTTGACATGTCGCCGGAGGAGATTCGGACAACATTCTGGACTATGGTTAAACAAGATAATCCCGATTCTCTGCTTTTACGCTTTCTACGGGCGCGTAAGTGGGATGTCAAAAATGCTCTCGTCATGTTTATTTCCACTATCCGCTGGAGGTTGATGGATGTGAAGGTGGATGAAGATATCATGAAGAATGGCGAGCAGCATGCTCTCAAACAGTCGCAGAGTACCGACCCTACTGAAAAGAAAGCTGGTGAAGATTTCTTGATGCAAATGCGTCGGGGAAAGAGTTTCCTTCACGGTGTCGACAAATCAGGCCGGCCAATTTGCGTCGTCAGGGTGCGCCTGCATAAGGCTGGTGATCAAAATTCAGAGGTCTTGGACCGCTTCACTGTTTACACAATTGAATCGGCGCGCATGATGCTTGCGCCTCCCGTCGAAACTGCTGTGAGTCTCAAATCTCAGGCAAGAGCCGGCGAGATGCACCTGACACATTCTAGTGTATCATTTTCGATATGACCGACTTCTCATTGGCGAATATGGTATGCCTACGATCTTCAATCTGCCATGGACGTTCACTTACCTCGGCAGGACTACTCTCCGGTCAAGTTCATGATCAAATGCTTCGAGGCCAACTATCCTGAATCGTTAGGAGTGGTACTCATTCACAAGGCGCCTTGGATCTTCTCAGGTTTGTCTTCGTCCCTGAATTGGAAGCCGTATGTACTGAAATTATGTTGCACAGGCATTTGGAACATCATCAAAGGATGGCTTGATCCGGTCGTTGCTGCCAAGGTCCATTTCACGAAGAATGTCAAGGATCTGGAGGAGTTTATCCCTCGAGATCGCATCATGAAGGAGCTTGAGGGTGATGAGAATTGGGAGTACAAGTACGTGGAATGCGAACGGGACGAAAATAAGCCGATGGAAGACACTGCCACACGAGACCAGCTGTTAGCAGAGCGACGTGAACTCGGGAAAGAAATCCAAGATGCCACCATTTCATGGATCTCGGCCAGCTCCAAAGGAGACAAGGACGCCGTGGCAACAGCTAAGGACAGGAGAAAGGACCTTATTGAGCGGTTGAGGGTGCAATACTGGCAGCTTGACCCTTACGTACGTGCCAGGTCCCTGTACGATCGCTTGAATGTGATCCAAGGTAATGGCAAAATCGACTTCTATTCAGCGGAGAGCATGTCGAAGGGAAACGCGGCCAGCAGCCAATAATCAGGAACGTTAAGGGTTGATGAGACTGAGTACTATAGACCTAACTTATCATTAAATTTTGGACATCGACGGGCTCAAAAAATTGAGTCATGATGTCTGTACTGGATGACAGTTTGTATATATAGAACATCACAGTCTGGACTAATGCATCATTTCTGCATACACTGTCTGACTTTCTTACTGAATGATGTAAGAGATGAATTTGAAATAGGCCTTGGTAATGACACAGTCAGGAGCTGAAGGACCACGCTAACTTCGTGTTGAGCCAAGGACTGCGACTTTTGGAGTGAAAGTGTCGGTTTACATCTTGGACTTGATTTCCTCATGCAGAGCCTTGAGTTTATCCATGTCGGTAGGCTGGGTAGGCCATCCAATACCAAGACCCTCTTTCTCATTCGGCTTGGGAATCTGTTAATCTGCGTGTTAGCACCATTGCTACATACACCAGGAAGAATGCTAAGACGTACCATGTGGAAATGGACCTATTCAAATAGGACAGTAAGGGTTAGCGCCGTGTTTCCATTTTCCACGTCCAGGAACGGTCTCTTACGTGGTCAACAACTTGGTGAGCAATGCGGCCGTTGTTCTGCAGAATGTTGTAATCTTCTGCACCGCTTGCTTTGGCAATCTGCTTGGCCACGGGCTATTGGAGATATTACCTGTCAGCCTTATCCTAATGAGAATAGGATTAGGTAGGGGACCCTGTAACCTGCGGGGGACAAAGTTCAAAGTTCGTGGACCTTATCCCCCAAGGTCCTCAGGGATGTGCAAAAGGTATAGAAGGGCGGGTGGCACGAAATTCTGCTTGCGTCTTCCTTTCTTCACGTACCAGCAGCTCCCTGAGGTCTTCGTCAGGGATATCGGTGAGCTTCGCACCGTGGAACTTCGGAATCACAAGCTATTACAGACGATTCAGCACTACTGTTAGCGGACTTATGCTTCTCTCAACATTGATAGTGTGAGACCCGCCGAAATGTATACAAAGCGGCTGCATGAGATATCGTATGCCTGGGCATAGGACTGATATCTCGGGCAGTTATGCTGCAGTTCAACGTAGAGGTGCCAGAACTTACCGCATGGCCACGGCTGAGAGGCTGGATGTCTAGAAAAGCGAAGACTTTGTCGCTCTCGAAGAGCTTAAAAGAAGGGATATCACCTATGTTTCATAAGAAAGCTTAGCGCCATCAAGCAGGAGTGCGTACGGCGTCATCGCAAGCTCCTCATGCGAAAGTTGGACACGCAACACCTCGCTGGAAGCTCGGGCGGGAGATAGGACTCACCCTTGATGATTTTGCAGAATATACACGCAGCGGAAGACATTACGTAGACAAATTGGGGATCAATTAGATGGCTATACACGTAAATGAAGTGCTGATTGAGAGCAGACAATAATCAATCGTGAAGTCAATGAACTGTTCAAGATGCGGGCAGGTGGGTTGAATGCGGGGTACGCGACGTCAAGAGAACCGAAAAGAAAAGAAAAGGGCGAAGTGAGCCGGATTCGAACGGAGACCCTTTCTGCTGCCAGAGGTGGGTTATATTTTAAATTGGGGAGACTTCTCCGAGGAGTGGGACAAGCTAGCTCAGAACCCATTTCTTGCCTTTTACCAGAGATGGCCGTGGCTTGCCCAACATACTCCTCTTCTCAATCTTTGGACCTTTCCATCGACACAGCTGTCGATTTTGTTATTTTTATTTTTGTCTAGCATTGTTACTGCCTTCTTAAACTGCCGTGTCTTTTTTTTTTTTTTACGGGATTCTAGCCAAGAGTATGCCTCAAATAGTTGCAGGAACGATACAAAGTGCGTGTCCTTTTACTGTTAAGCCCCGTGGCTATAGTGCCACTGCGGGCGAGTGCTCCTACTCCGCCTTTTTTAATGAGTGCTACGTGCAACTCTTGACGCTTGCTTTTCAAGATCATCATGACTTGACATGTTGAAATGCTGCACCGAAGCGAAAGTCATGAGTCTATACTCAAGCCAGTTGTTCGTACATTATAAAAGCATCTAGAGGGTATCCCACTACTTCGTACGAGGCAGGTTCCCAGTCCCCTCCATAGGTTGCGCAGCTACCCCAAATCTTCCTAGTTGGAGAAGCAGCCTATCCTGCTGAACGGGCAAAAGTCCGCTTCTAACGGCTTGAAACCACCCAATTGACGACTATTGAACTCGATGAGATCCCCGAGACCCACGTTGATAGGCCTGACCCCACCCTGAATGGTCATCTTATCTCTGCTTTCTCCGCACGGCTTCCTATCAAGCGGTCGTTCTTCATACCAAGGAATCGTAGATAAATTGTCGTCGTTCCTTCGTTGAAAGGCGCCATGGCACTTGCATGGAGTTCTAGGTTTGCAGCCTCACCCGCTGTCCAACGTCCTTTCAGCCGAGGAGTACCACCACATCTCGTTAAATCTGCGTTCATACGATCTCAACGGCCTTTCTCGATCTCAAGGAGCCAAGCCATGCTATCCACGGAATTGAGCGAGGCTCAAGTCGCGGCTTTACGCGCGAACAAGGATCGTCTTGCGAAAGATCTTCATCACAGTTGTCAATGGGGCTACGGTATCCGATGGGGAGAGTAAGCATGGCATACTGCATTCGTTCTTACACTGGGCCGGTGCTGTTCGTAACCTTAGCGAGCAAACAATGGAGCTCCGCCATGATACACTGGTCCCATGTGTAATTTAGCCGGGGCAGTGCTGACCGATGTCTGGCTTAGTGGACCGACAGATACCGGTATGCAACGTCTCGCCCTGTCCGAGGAGGACAAGAGAGTGAGGGATTGGTTCATCGAAACTGCAAAGGCACTGAAGTGCAAAATCACCATTGACGAGATGGGCAATATCTTCGCTGTACGCCCGGGGCGTCGAAAGGATGTGCCTGCCACGTTCATCGGCAGCCATCTGGACACTCAGCCGACTGGTGGTCGATATGACGGGATTCTCGGAGTTCTTGCGGGCATTGAAGCTTTGAAGGTCATTGACGAGATGGGAATCGAGACAGAGGGAGGCATAGGAGTTGTCAACTGGACAAAGTAAGAACCGTTCTCCAGATGGCCTACGCAGATTTCTGCCGCAGACAGTATAGTAACATTTTTACAGCGAGGAGGGTGCTCGATTCCCAGTTAGCATGATTTCTTCCGGTGTCTGGGCGGAGTGCATACCTCTTTCGAGGGCCCATGACCTCAAGGAAGTTCCTACGGTGGCTTCACTACCTACCGCAGCCTCCTCTCCTGAGTCGATGAAATCAGCCCTGGAAAAGATCCACTACCTTGGGAGTGTCCCATGCTCATACAAAGAGACGCCAATGGCAGCGCACTTTGAACTTCACATCGAACAGGGACCCCATCTCGAGTCCGCCAATCAGCGTGTCGGTGTGGTCACTGCCGTCCAGGCATACCGCTGGTACCGCCTGAACATCATCGGTAGAGACACTCATACTGGTACTACAGCCTTCCAGCACCGGGCAGATGCCCTATACGCTTTTGCCCGCATGATGGTTCGCGCTAGGGAAGTTGCGTCATCTCACGGTAGTTTGGCAAGTGTTGGTATTATCGAAGCGAAGCCTGGTAGTGTCAACACCGTGCCAGGGCTTGTGAGCTTCTCCCTCGACATTCGCGGGCCAGAGACCGAATTAGTCACTGTGGTGGAAGCAGAATTGAGAAAGGATTTCGATGCAATTGCTGCCGAGGAGGGTAAGGGTATTGGGAAGCCATGTCGAGTGGAGTGGACCATGGATTTTGACTCCCCAGCGGTGAAATTCCACCCGGACTGCATTGAATGTGTTCAACAATCAGCAGAAGCTGTCGTTGCCGACGCTGGTGTCTCTGATCCCAAGTCTCTTGTGCGGACTATCATGAGCGGTGCAGGGCATGACAGTGTTTTTACCTCCAAACGAGTTCCCACAAGTATGATTTTTGTGCCGTGCAAGGACGGTTTGAGCCATCATCCCGAGGAGTTCTGCTCTGCGGACGACTGTGCCACAGGCGCATCAGTCATTCTGCAGGCAGTAATCCGGTATGACAGGAGGAGATTCACTGCATAGGAATCGTGCTTGTCATAACATATCGAGAAATCAGACTGTTTATATTGTTCTCTCCGATCAGGTGTCATATCGACAAAAGCAAGGCAGGCTCCAGAGCTCTTCCCGTGCGCAAATTCAAGTGCTGGCATCTTACCGTCAAAAACCAACAAATCTACGAGTAGCACAGACTGATCGGACTGAGTCATGATGATTTTGCCATTAATCCTAGCTAGTTCATAACAAGAGGCATTGGCAGTACATGATCCTCATTCCCCAAATAGAAAGAGTAGTTCTACTTTTATCATAGGATGAGCAGGGGTGCGGCTTTTTCTGGCTTTTAGAGCCTACTCAAGCCACACTTGCAGCATCCGTCAACCCCTTGGATGACCGAGAGACGAACAACCTTCCTTTAAGAAGAGGGGGCACCACGGCCACGGCCGAAGCCACCGCGGAAGCTGGGGGCGAACTCGCCGGGGGCACCACCCTCCTTGGACTCCTGCTCACGGCGACGGTAGCCACCCTCACGGGGAGCACGGGGACGACGCTCGCGCTCCTCACCACCCAGCATGCCGCGAGGGGGAGCGTGAGAACGCTGCTGCTTGATGTGGGTAGCGGGAACAACCTCGGCGGGAAGGTGGAGCCACTCGCGGAGGTAGTCAAGACCCTAGATGAAAAAATCAGATGCGGCTCAAATCATCGGTGGTCGACGGTTAACGTACCTCAGGGGTGAGGGTGTAGTAGTAGTACTGCCACGAGAACTGGGTCTTGACATAGCCGCGGGAGTTCAGGGACTGGAGGGCCTTGATCACCTATAGTAGCAGAAACACGCATGTCAGACGCAATTGTTCATCTTCGATTTTCCTCAAGCGGTTATGGGGTCGACTCACGTAGAGGTTCTTGGTGTCAATGTCGCCATGCTTGGGAAGGTTGAAGTCCTTCTTGGCCACGAGCACACCCTCTGTTCAAATAAGAAGCACCAAGTCAGTGAGAGTTCGTCGTCAATTGAGTCAACCAATCTGCGCCGCGGAAGCCGCACGATTGGGAGTCGATTGTAACATACCGCGGAAGAGGTACTCGTGGATCTTCTTGCGGTCTTCCTTGGGGATAAGCCTGCAGTAACATTAGTACAAATGCGAAATCAATGCATGAAAGCCATGTAACTAAACGTCGTAGCACTTACATTGTCGCGAGTTCCAGGCGCTATTCGGGGAATCGCTCTGACAACGCGAGGAGAATGGTTTATATGATGGAAGTGATCAAGTGGAGCGGCAGCCCAAGTTAAAAGTGCGACGCTTCCTGTTCGGGAACGCCAGTTAGGGTTGTGGCCCTGATCAACGCGCTAGCCTGGATATGCCAAAAAAAATCACATGATCATACCGCTGAAGCTACTTGGGCCTCAGGCATCAGCAACCGCAACTTAGTCATCCTCCCTTATCTTCAACTCCACTTTTGACAACGTTCAACGCCTCCTCTACGTCAACTCACTCACACTTTACATCTCGAACCCTTGACCGCTCAGTCTCGTCTCTAACGGCATTGACTAGCCGCAATAAATATTAAATACACTAATCTCAGTGGCAGTCAGATACTCAGCGATCAGTATGGCAGCACAAACAGTGAATGTGCTCCTTTCATCCTTCCCAGGACTTTCCCTACCTTCGACGGTCTCATTTTCTCTCCCATCCACGTCGACAATCTCTGATCTTACCGATAAAGTCTCCGCATACTTACCATCGTCGATACCGCTTCAGTCGCTTGTCTTGACCACAACGAGTAACAAGCAACTTGTTCCATCATGTGAACGTTTACTTTCTCTCTTTGGCGCCTCCAATGGCGAAGTTGCAACAACGTCGAATCTCCTCCCCCTCCGGCTGACTGTTCCCCTGCGCGGAGGCAAAGGTGGTTTCGGTTCCCAGCTTCGTGCGGCTGGTGGACGTATGTCAAGCAAGCGGAAGCGCAATCAGGGCGATGACAATGGCTCCAGTCGCAACCTTGACGGTCGCCGTATTCGCACGGTCAACGAAGCCAAGGCTCTGGCCGAATACCTCGCAGTCAAACCGGAGATGGATCGAAAAGAGAAGGAAGAGCGTCGGCGCCGGTGGCAGGCTGTTGTGGAGGCTGCAGAAAAGCGCCAGGAGGAATTGAAAAACGGTGGCGGAAAGAACAAGATCGATGGACAGTGGATGGAGGACAAGGAGGAAATGAACGAAAAGGCCAGGGAGGCTGTGTTGGCAGCAATGAGGGACGGAGTTTGGACGGACAACTTACGCGACGCGATCCTGGGCGGATCTAGCACGA